GAAGCTTATGTATAATTCATTATTAGATTCATCAAACTTAATCATTAGAGCTCAGAATGAAAGTCTTATGTATAGTTCATTATTAAATTCATCAAACTTAATCATTAGAGCTCAGAATGAATGTCTTATGTATAGTTCATTATTAGATTCATCAAACTTAATCATTAGAGCTCAGAATGAAAGTCTTATGTATAGTTCATTATTAGATTCATCAAACTTAATCATTAGAGCTCAGAATGAAAGTCTGATGTATGGTTCAGCTGAAAAGGTTCATAAAACTTAATAATAAGAGGTTACAATTTCAAGTCTAACGTCTGGTTCAGCTGAAAAGGTTCATCAAACTTAATAATAAGAGCTTACACTTTCAAGTCTAACGTCTGGTTCAGCTGAAAAGGTTCATCAAACTTAATCAATATAGCTCAAAATGGATGTCTTATGTATAGTTCATTATTAGATTCATCAAACTTAATCATTAGAGCTCAGAATGAATGTCTTATGTATAGTTCATTATTAGATTCATCAAACTTAATCATTAGAGCTCAGAATGAATGTCTTATGTCTGGTTCAGCTGGAAAGGTTCATCAAACTTAATAATAAGAGCTTACACTTTCAAGTCTAACGTCTGGTTCAGCTGAAAAGGTTCATCAAACTTAATCATTAGAGCTCAGAATGAAAGTCTTATGTATAGTTCATTATTAAATTCATCAAACTTAATCAATATAGCTCAGAATGAATGTCTTATGTATAGTTCATTATTAAATTCATCAAACTTAATCATTAGAGCTCAGAATGAAAGTCTTATGTATAGTTCATTATTAGATTCATCAAACTTAATCATTAGAGCTCAGAATGAAAGTCTTATGTATAGTTCATTATTAAATTCATCAAACTTAATCATTAGAGCTCAGAATGAATGTCTTATGTATAGTTCATTATTAGATTCATCAAACTTAATCATTAGAGCTCAGAATGAAAGTCTTATGTATAGTTTATTATTAAATTCATCAAACTTAATCATTAGAGCTCAGAATGAATGTCTTATGTATAGTTCATTATTAGATTCATCAAACTTAATCATTAGAGCTCAGAATGAATGTCTAGTTCATCAAACTTAATTACAATGTCTCAAATATCTGTATGGGCTATATGCAGTTATAAAGTATTAAAGTTATGTATTACCTTTTCTTTGCTTCTGATATGTAGATTGATATTTTTTAAAACTAATGGACCATTTTTATCATATCTTAAATTAATATCACTAAATGTTATAGATCCCTGACTTGGCCAGTCATTGGGAGGTGGACGGTCTGATGTTTTACTGGCTTCCTGTTCGACATCTGTGTAAGATAAAACTCTCTCTACAGCTGTCATCTAAAAAAAAAATATTGATTTTTCCTTAAGTATATATCATGGAATTCTTTTGATAAATATTTCTAGATAGAATTAAGTATATGTGAACTGAGTTCTAACATGAAATCATACTAATATTGACTATTGACTGTATGTATAAGTTGTTAAATCTATAAACCTCAATTTCTACCAATACCTGTCCTGTTAATGGATTGTTACCCAAAACACATTCCATTTAGAAATAAAAAACTTACAGAATTTTCCAATTCAGCTGTGATTCTCATATAGAACTCAAAAGGCATTGAGAATGAGATAAGATATGTGAAAGCTAAACCAACCAAACCACTTGGTATATCTAAATATAGAAATAGATACAATGATTCATTTACTAATCAACATTTATTATTCTTATAAAAAATTTTCTTTTTACTGAATATAGAAATTTGAGCATGAACATTACATTTATTTAATGCGATGTTTTATCTAAGCTTTTACAAATCCCTATTCTATATGTAACTTATTTTTTACTTGTTTTTATTTAGAAAATTTATTTCAATCCAATAACTTTACATTAACAGGGATGCAAGCTGAAAATAGGTCAGTCTGAAGATCGCGTAACAACAGGTTCTGTTTTAATATTTCTATATCGCTCTACAATTGATGTATTGAGTATATGTTTTACATACATATATGATTATGGAACAATGTTTGTTATATATTCTGTATTACATTCTTTCAAATGTTTATCAAATTCTGAAATTGGGTATTGTATTAAGATTGACTGTAACTTACCATCTTTGATGAGTAGAAAGACGTGTATAACTAGGTTGATAAATATAATAACACATAATAGTGTTCTTATACTAAACCATCTATAAGCTGAAAGATAGGTAAACCATGCTCCACTAGCTTGATTCTGAAACCTATCAAAGTCATCAGCAAACTGTTTCTGTTTTCCACTAGCTCTGATAGTCTGCAGGCCTATTATGGTATCTGATACATGACAATATACTGGTGATTTTGCTGAAATGGTCACATTAAAAATTTAAATCAAGTTAAACATCTATAACATGCATCATTTAATGAGATTGTCAAGACTATACTTTTGAATATTATTAAACAAAGTCAATAAATATTAAATAAATAAGAACTCTTGTGACAATTTCGTCAGGTCATAGGGCAAAGTGGAGCTACCATAGAAAAAACATAAAACTAAAACTCGACATCTGTATCTACTATTTGTTGGCTAAAATGATAAATGAGTGAATTATTTACCTATTGCCTCTAATCTTTTCACATCTCTAGTTGTTTTTATAGCATAAAATCTAATAGCAATGATAACACAACACAATGGAACCAAAGTTATAAATAACCAGGGTGCTATAATACATATATTGATACATGTCCCTATTAACATTACTGTAAACTGAAATACAAATAGAAAATCACACATAGTTATTCTCAAAACATATTTGACTGCTTTTTTGGACCACATTAAAGTTGATATATCATATTTAACATTCTCCTTAGACGTTTAATAGATTAAATACTTAAAAATTAACTTAAAAAAATTACCTCAATAACAACTTCCCAAATTCTAATCAAAATATCATCCATTAAACCAATATCTCTTGAAAAACGATTTAATATTCTTCCTGTAATAATAACAATGAGTTGTCACTATCTTCTTCTTTAATTTACATTTCTTATTATTTAATTTGATTGGTCTCAATATATTGTACTGAAGTGATTATATTGGTAAGAATGAAGTCAATAACTCATATAAAATATTTTTTGATTTTTTTCATCCTTGGATAATAATAAACAGTTTAGCCAAATCTCATCAAGGCAAGGGCAATAACTCATACTTAATATTTTTCAAATTTTCTGATTTTCAATAGGGTTTATCCTTGGGAGGTAACAAACATTCACACCAAATTCTGTCAAAATCTGTTAAGAATTGTGCCTTCTAGCTAAAAATTAAACACGCGCAATAACTCATACTAAATATTTTTTAGATTTTTCTGACGAACATGGGTGACGCCATTCCATGTGGGCGTATACAAATGATTGATATCTTGTAAATTAACCTTAAAACACCCACACTTACCTAATGGCTGTGAATCAAAGAATTTAGTAACAGCTCCTAAAACTCGCTCAAACATGTTATTATGTAGATTCTGGCTGGCCACGGCACAAATCATCATATTCAAAAGGACACAGAAAAATCCACTCACAGCGAATACACAGGTAAATATAAAATATAATTTTAATTCTGGTGTAAGAGTTCTATCTGGTTCATTATTATTAAATAACATAGTTGTATTATCACTTAGATTGTTTGAAGTATAACCTATAATATTCTCAGTTGTATTGAACAACATCACTGGGATAGAACTATTCTGAAAGATGTCTGCCTTATCATCAAATGACTGAGCCCTGAAACAAAAATATAACAGCATTTTAAACTGGACATTTTCATTCAATATTAAAATCATTTCGTATTGAATTAGCTAATTAGCTGCCGATATGTTTGGTGTACCAAACTGATTAAAATACAGCTTAAAATATCTGTGACTAACATCTATAGGGAGCATGTTTACAAAATGTTCTGTTAACCAACACTAACAAGGATTCAGGGATTTGTTATAAAACATTGACGTCCAGATTAATGGATGTTTTAATGATATTTGCCAAAGCTGTTCTGAATCAAATTAACCTTCACAATATTATAGAAAAAATAAGCATTTCTTACCATCGTGCTAAATTCCAATCAGCTACAAATTGTGAAGGCTGAAAATATGAAAAATATGAAAGGGTACAATATTAGGTTAAAAAAATGTTTGACATAAAATAGGCTATAGTAACATTAATAAAAACACAGTTCTAGAGTTTTCAATCAATTTCACATTGATTTGGAAAAGTTGTCTTTCTTCATGGTTCAAGTCAATTCCATCAGTAGTTTTCATTTAAAATATAGTTTTTCTTTCTTTATCTGTCTTATAAATGTAAATACCTTATAGAGTAATATAAGAGTCAACCATAATGGTAAAAAATACAAAAAATAACCAGCTTTAAAGTAATCTTTGTAAACTTTACATGGTACTTTATCACGATTTAATACTTCTACATCTTCTTCAACAGCAACCTTACTTAACTACAACAAAAAAACAGCTACATTACTTAACTACAATAAACAACAGCTACATTATCTAGCTTCAAAAAACAGCAGCTACATTATCTAGCTTCAAAAAACAGCAGCTACATTATCTAGCTTCAAAAAACAGCAGCTACATTATCTAGCTTCAAAAAACAGCAGCTACATTATCTAGCTTCAAAAAACAGCAGCTACATTATCTAGCTTCAAAAAACAGCAGCAACATTATCTAGCTTCAAAAAACAGCAGCTACATTATCTAGCTTCAAAAAACAGCAGCTACATTATCTAGCTTCAAAAAACAGCAGCTACATTATTTAGCTACAGAAAACAACAGCTACATTACTTTTATACAAAAAACAAGAGCTACATTATCTAGCTTCAAAAAACAGCAGCTACATTATCTAGCTTCAAAAAACAGCAGCTACATTATCAAGCTTCAAAAAACAGTAGCTACATTATTTAGCTACAGAAAACAACAGCTACATTACTTTTATACAAAAAACAAGAGCTACATTATCTAGCTTCAAAAAACAGCAGCTACATTATCTAGCTTCAAAAAACAGCAGCTACATTATCAAGCTTCAAAAAACAGTAGCTACATTATTTAGCTACAGAAAACAACAGCTACATTACTTTTATACAAAAAACAGCAGCTACATTATCTAGCTTCAAAAAACAGCAGCTACATTATCTAGCTTCAAAAAACAGCAGCTACATTATCAAGCTTCAAAAAACAGTAGCTACATTATTTAGCTACAGAAAACAACAGCTACATTACTTTTATACAAAAAACAGCAGCTACATTATCTAGCTTCAAAAAACAGCAGCTACATTATCTAGCTTCAAAATACAGCAGCTACATTATCAAGCTTCAAAAAACAGTAGCTACATTATTTAGCTAC